AATAGCCTAATACATGAAGGAAAATAAAAAAGACACAATTGCCCCTAGAGCAAACATAAAACAAAGCCCTCAAGTGAGGGTAGAAATGGAAAAGTACTGATAACAAATAAAATACATGAAAATAAATAGACACGATCGTAGCCGTTGATCTTCGATGTCCTCATCAGTTGATTTGTGCCACACTCCAGTTTTTATCCTCAGTCATATCCCTATGATCTCATTTTTCCGATCTGTCCACATGTTATCATACTTTCTCTAAGAAAGACATTTTACACTCTGTTGTATTGCTTCCCTCTCTACATCATTCCTTTAATGTTTTCCTCACTCATTTTTGTCCAAATCACAGGGCTTACTTCGACTTTTGTACCTACATGACATCTCAGATGGTCTCCTTACTCACAGCACTCTTGTTGATGATTACATGCTTCTTTTTTCTACTTTTTCCTTCAACAACCTTGCAGCATTTTGAATATCTTTTGCTTTTTTTTTTTATTTGCAAGCCAGCTATTTATTTCATCCACCATTCATGTTTATTTATGTCATCCTTAAGGCAATGGATCTTTGTTTTATTCATATGACAAGCTGACGATGCATTAATAATGCCTATGGATGGGACATTCTCTAGAGTTCTTTAGTTCTAAAAGGAGTTTCTTTCTCTTCACCTTCATCATTTTGATTGAATTTGTTTGGTCCTTTTTTAAATCATACTTCATTCCATCTTCTATGTTCTTTAATGTTGCTCACTTGGTGTCTTCCCCAGTGATCCTTTTTAAAGTCAAGTAAGTTGGAGGCATTTCGTATGTTGCACTAGGTTGAGAACTTACTCATGAATTGAGAGGGGAGAGAGAGTGTCTGTGTCAGAGAGATAGATGGGTGAGTGGGTGGGGGTGGGTCTACCCTTTTCTTGGGAGGCATTAGTGAAGAGAGGGAGGTGAGGGGGCTGGAGACAGAGGAAAGATGATTGCCTAGAGATGAAGTGCAGTCTTGTAGTACTTTTTAAAAAAAATTTCCCCCCTTCTTTCCTCACGTGGTGAGCGAGAATGACACCCTTAACAGATCACGTGTGAGGGCTCTTTAGCACCTTGATTTAAGAGGAATCTGAGAGGAATCAACTCACCTTAATACTATATATATAATTTTATCTCTCTTTTCAATAATAATAGAAAATTAATAATGATATTAATATTATTTTTTATAGATTATTATATTATTATTACTTATATATTTAAATACACTTTTTTGTTGATTTTATCATTTTTATTAAATATTTAACATATTATTCTTCTTCTTATTGTTAATTAAAAAAACGAAGTGCCTAAACCCTCCTATAAATACTCTCCTCACACACAGTGGATGTGTTTTCTCTTCCCGCACAACAATCTATGCAGTGTTGGGGCATTCTTGAACTATTTTAGTGTTCTAGATGCATAAAAATGATCTATTCTATAAGATGGATGATGATTGAATGCCTTTATTCACAATTTTATTATATTTATGCTATATTTGTTTTATTTGGGTTTAATTCAATTAACTTGTGGATTACGTGCATATGCCAACAATTATTCCTTAACAAAATCATTATAATGATGAAAATGTGTTGGAAAAACAAACTTGAGTGTGAAGTCACCTCTGGGGTAGAGAAGGACATGAACCCTTAAATTAGCCATGTAATCCTTTAGCTTCACCGAAATTTGTTTATCTGGAACTGTGCCAACCAAATTCTTTGAGCAAAATATTTCGTCATTTGAAGTGTTCGGTCAAATTTTTTTCATAATGTTGAGTAGTGAAAAGCAATCAACCGCATGGCCAACTGGTTTTGGTTTATTATCAAGTCGTTTTAAGGCACCTTGCCAAATGGATTTAATCTTTCTAGGCTGAAATCTAAGAGGATTGTACTGTGAGCTTTCAATGAATGAATGCCATAGAAAATGAGAACGTACCATCTTTAGAGATGAAAAATGTATTCAATGGATGATACATGAATACACACAATTTTTGTAGAATATTGAAAATCATATTTATAAAGTAAACTAACTTGATTATATATACATTAGATGCCATGTAAGTATCAGGCAACAAACAAGATAAACTATCAATACCCTATTGTGTATTTGTTAGACCGGTCTCGCTGGTCCGACGGAACTGGCTTATGCGAACAATGGTGGAAGTCTTCGCCTCCTGTACGCAGGATCCAACCACCAGATCTTCACAGAGCTGTTTAGGAAGTTTTTTTAAGGGAGTTGGGAGGAAATTTCAAAGTCGGGCTGCTTATAGATTTCCTTTTGAATTGTATGCATTAAATAATTCATTTTCCTAGGGTTAGGGCATCTTGAATTTGGTTGAAAATTTGAGATCTCTTAGATTTTTCTTGGGCTCTAGCGATGTCTAGAGATTTGGGAGAGATAAATCCTCCTCTCTAATAGAGGATCAATTGTATCTTGGTATTTTCCGTTTTCTTTTATCCAATAATACAAATTATCGATTGTTTTCATGGTTTTGTGTGGATCTTTATGGAGAACTCTCGCTGTTTTCCGAAGATTGATAGGAAATACTTGAGATCTACTAGTGTTTCTATCAAATTGGTATTAGAACTGTTTTTGGGACCTTTTGTGGGTTGTTTTGGTAAATTTCAATGTATGCTCTTAGGATTTCGAAGAAGAAAGTTGCTGTTTTTGAAAGTCGAAGTCTAGATTTTTATTTCTACAAAAATTCGGGCATCAATGGTGGCAAAAAAATGGATGCGTTGGAGGAACGCCTCAAAGTGGATATTGGACAAATGAAATTTGAAATTTCAGATCTCCAAACTTATATCTTCAGATTTTAAAAACAATGTTTCAGCCATCCATGATAAGTTCGATTCAAAATTTTCCATACTGGAGATGTTGAAGAAAGTGCTTGATGGCCAAACCAAAATATCACCGTTGAAGGGGAAGGAAGGCGCCGACAGCTAGGGAGATGGGAAAAACCCTAAGCCAATTAGGCAAATGGGAGTTCAGGAGGTGGTGTATCGAAAGGGAGAAGAGAGAATACCTCACATAGAGTTTATTCTTAGGGAGGAGCTGGGCAGAGGGTATGAGGAGAGGCGTGAGGAGATAGGGCAAGAACGAAGATGTGCTGATTTGGAGAGGAGAGGGATGAGATTGGAAAGGGAAATGAGTATTTATGATCAAATGGGGGCTGAATTTGAAAGGGGAGGGGTTTGCTATGATCTAAGGGGTGCTGAATTTGAGTGGAGAATGTGAGAATTTGATGAAAGGTTGGGGTATGAACGTAGAAGAGATGATTGGGGCATTTGGGGGAAACCACCCCCTTGGGGATGGGAAAGTTACGAAGGGAACAGAGGGAACGGAGGTGATCTGAGGGTGGGGAAGCTGAAGATGCCTATTTTTGAGGGAGAGGATGCCCATGGATGGATCTAAAAGCTGGAAAGGTACTTTACCGTCAACAGGTTGATGGATGGGGAGAGATTGATGGCAGCCGAGATGTGCTTGGAAGGGAAAGCTTTAGCATGGTACCAATGGAGGGATAAATGACGACCATTAAGGACCTAGAGGGAGTTTAAGTACTGCCTCTTGGAATGTTTACAAACCAACAGAAATATTTAATTAATAAATTCAATTACTTCATAGTGATATCATGTATGTATTCTCCCTCTTTCTCTTTCTAGCTCTCTTGCTCTTGTTTATTTCTCTCTCTTATCTAGAAGTATCCACCTCCTTATCTAAGTGATGGGGAGCCTAGTTAGTTCAACTGTGCTGATCAATCTTTTTTAATTAAAATTATAGGATGTTATAGTATCAAACTAGATCTTGGTTATTTTCATATTTCTAACTCTAAAGTGAAAGAGCATGAATCTCAAATTGCCATTGAAATTTAGTGTTGTGCTACTACTTGAATTGTTGCTTTTTTTAGTAGTATTTGTTGTTTTCTTTATTAATATAATTTTTGCTGGTAATTTTTATGAAGGCATAACTTTTGAGAAAAGGACCAAAATGATCCCTTGACTATTTAGGAAGGACCAAAATGGTTCTTAACTAAGTTAAAGGATCATTTTGGTTCCTCAACTATTTAAAATGGGATCATTTTGGTCCCACTGTTAAAAATCAATAGAAAAAAATAAGTAAATGTGGGATGACTGAAGCATGGCGGAAGGCTATATTCGGAATAACAAAAATTATGCGAAATCAAAATCTAAGAACCGAGTTGCATTGCGTCGAAACCCCAACGAAAACACCCATAAGCTTCAAACCTCCAACAGCTTAGACCCCCTACCTGGAACCATTAACAACTTCGAACCCTAGCTCCCCTAAGGCATATGTATGTATGAAATATGGCTCTATGGTATACAATAAGTGAATAAATTCATCATCTCCTTGGTAAAACACTTCGGAAAAAATAATCCAAAATCATCCTACTATATAAATATGACAGACTATTCATCAGCTGTCTTGATGTTTTTGCGGTCATGCAGATGTTAGTCAGGTTTGGCTGCAGGTTGTAGCCGTGTTGTTAAGTCTTTTTTTTTTGGATTAGGCTTATGTTCTTGAGGTATTTAAAATTTAAATTGGCTTCTTAATTTAGGTACTGCATTAAAAGTAAAATGCATCATAAGATTAATACTGATAACCGATGTGAAAGTATTGGAAAAAAAAGTATACCAAAAATAATATTTTGTAGGAGTTGTGCAATAAGACTAATTCAAGTTCGAGCTAAATCTTCTATGATATTCATATTCAATTGACTGGAGGATTCATAATGTAGACCTGAAATGGTTGAGCTACGGCATGAGTTTAAATGTAGGCATTATTTGAATTTGTTGCTCATCCCACTTGATGCTCGTTAGCATTGAATTTGCATATGCTGCATTCATGTTAATCTAAGCCGGTCTGAGAGGCTGAAATTTTTTCTTCATGGATTAAGTAACAATGAATGTTTTCCTAATCATTGACAATCATATTCTTTTACAATTATTCCATGATAATACTCAATTTATTTTACAGGATAAAGCAGTAGAAGCTGGAATATTTAACCACATCATAGCATGTGTGAGGCTTGATTATAATGTGTGCACATCTGCAGCGAATCTGCTCTTTGAGCTCTTGCAAGAAAATGATAGGTGGGGCCAGGCCATACAACAAGAGGATTGTCGATGGAACCCAGATTTTTGTAGAAAACTAAAACAACTGCGTGGTACAATTGCTTTTCTTGTATTGATCATCCTGGACAATCAATTTTCAGAATCAGCTAAGAAGATGGAAGCTATCTTGTTACAGCTGTGTTGCGATGATGATGCTACAATTTTAGATGTAGCTTCTTACCATTGGTACAAACCACTTGTCCGACGATTACGTGATGGTTAGTATGAGCTCTTTTGCTTTTCTTTTCTTCAGTTTATTTGTCCTCTGTTATTGAAATTGTCTATTATCATACATATATTGGCTTAGTCTATGTTTTACTCAGTTTATTGTTGCTTTATGTCTATTAAGATTTCATTCTACAGTGACTTTGATTTTTATCCTTGTAGAGGATTTTGTGATAGAACCTTAAAACTTGATATCAAATTTGTTCTAGGAAAGTCAATGGACTAGGATTTCTATCCCATTTATAAAATATAATGTAGATTATGATGCAATTAATTGATCAAGAATGTACACGTTCATATGAAAACAATTTATTAATGTGATAGGAAATAGTTGTAGAAACAGAAAAATAATTGCTGAAATAAGAATTTTAGTAATATCGCCAAGCAGGTTTTGAGGATTTCATGGAGGAAAAACAAAAAAAAACCACTATTGATTGAATAGTAGATGAAAGAAAATAACAATGTACAATTGATTCTCAATTTGAGAGGAGGATCTATTTCTCCCAAATTTCCAGACTCCATTAGAGCCCAAGAATACCAAGCACCACAAAAACATTGAAAACTCAAGATAATCCTAACCCTAAACCAACCCTACTACATAAAGCACACAAATTGAACTCTCAAAAGACTAAATAACCATTCTAAATTTAAAATTTCCTCTTAATCACTCTCTATCTCTCTCCACTTAAGCTATGTGCCCCACCTAGGCGAAAACAGCAGGCTTTCGCCTGCTGTATAGAAGGGGCCGACTCTTGTTTTAGGCCGGCTAGACTGGTCCCTCCTGGACCGGTCTATCAATTCCCCACTCCCGAAGAATCACCTTGTCCTTAAAGTGAATAGAGGGGGAACTGATGTTGCATCCTCTCATACGACTCCCATGTAGCATCATAATCAGGAAGATCCCTCCATTTAATCAACACTTCTTTGATCCCTCCTCCTCCTTGGCATACCTCCTGTAGCTCTAATGGTTCTAGAGCCACTTCCAATTCCTCAGTCAGCTTGGCCAGCAACTCTGAACAAACTTTGTAATCCTCAATAGCTTTTCTCAACCGAGATAAGTGAAACACTGGATGTATGGTTGCGATGGGAGGTAACATCAATGATAAGCTACTGCTCTAATCTTCTCTGATATCTCATAAGGGCCAAAATATTGCAGAGCTAGCTTCTTGTTCCTCCTATTAGCTACCTTCTTCTGTCTGTAAGATCGAAGCTCCAAGAACACCATATCCCTAACTACAAACTTAATGTCCTTCCTATGCCCATCCACCCGTTTCTTCATAATATGCTAAGCTCTCAATAGATGCATTTTCAATTCTTTCAACACCACACCCTGTCCCTCTCCTCCAAGTATTCTTCTATTGAAGAAACTGGAGTGTTATTCTGCCCAAAATGCACTAAGTGAGGTGAGTGTCATTCGTACAACATCTTGAATGTGGTCATCTGGGAGGCGGAACCAGTTCTATACTCCCAAGTGACCCCTAACTGCACTGCTATGGAACTCCTGCAGTAGGTGTGGAATATGAATTGATGTCTTAGACATCACATATCTCCCCTGGTACAGTAGCCTTTCCCCTCCTAGAGAATAGCCAGGATATCTATTCCTATCCTTCAATAAATCTGCCATAATCCTCCCCAACTCCTTATCCCATGCACTTCCTCCATAACGCCCCCAAAATCTAACATTAGCAGTATCGATACTGCCATCTGCTAGTGCTCCCCCATACATCTGGACACAACATCTGCTATCTTGTTCTCTATCCCAGGCCTACACTGAATTTCAAAGTCATATACTAATAACTTTGACAACCACCTTTAGTGCTCCTCTGTCACCATCATTTGTTCCAAAAAGTACTTTTGGCTCTGCTAGTTCATCCTGACAATGAAATTTTGACCCAACAAGTAAGGTTGGCACTTTTGGATGGCTAGCATAATGGCCATCAACTCACTTTCATAGATTGACTTCAGCCTAGCTCTAGCTGCTAACAACTAGCTGAAGTAAGAAATGCGTTGGTGGCTTTGCATAAGTATTTCTCCCAATCCATACCTTTATATGTCTGTCTCCACTACAAAAACCTAACTGAAATTTGGTAGGTCTAGGACTGGTATGGTGACCATGACCTTCTTCAACCTTTCAAACGCTTCAGTGGCCACCTCTCTCCCCAAGAAGTTATCCTTCAATTGTTCTGTCAGTGGCCAAACAATGGTGTTATATCCCCTCATGAATCTCCTATAAAATCCTATCAGCCCTATAAATCTCCTCAGCTCCCTCAAATTCTTTGGTAGTGGCCTCTCAGCATTGCCTTGATTTTAGCTTGATTTGTGACCACACCCTTCTGAAATACTACATGTCCCAAGTACTCCATACTTGCTTGTGCAAAGCAATATTTCTTCAAATTTTTCCTTAGCTGCTACTCCTGTAACACCTCTAGGATCGTCCTTAAATGCTCCCAGTATTTCTCACCTGATCTGTTGTACGCTAGGATATCATCAAAGAAAAAAAACACAAATATCCTTAGATAGGGATGGAACACCCTATTCATTAGGGACTGGAATGTAGCTGGGGAATTAGTGAGGCTAAAAGACATCACCAAGAACTCATAATATCCCTCATGTGTTCTCAAAGTAGTCTTTAGCGTCCTCTCTTTTCATGCGGATCCGATGGTATCCAGACTTTAGATCTATCTTGGTGAAGATAACTTCCCCACTCAACTCATCCAATAGCTCATCTATCAATGGGATAGGAAATTTTTGCGTAGTTTTCTTATTCAAAGCCCTATAGTCCACGCAAAACTTCCAACTCCCGTCCTTTTTCTTAACCACTAAGATTGGACTAGAAAAAGAACTCACACTAGGCTTGATAATTCCTGCCTCCAATATTTATCTTATTAATTTCTCAATTTTATCATTCTGAAATTGAGGGTAATGGTATAGCCTGAAACTGATGGGTGTCAACCCCTCCCTCAACGTGATGGCATGCTCCTGCTCGCTTGGTGGTGGAATTCCTTGAGGTGGCTGAAAAACCTCACTGAATTGCTGTATCAGTGACTGTAGTTAATGAGGAATGTCTCTACCTTCCTCAAATCTGATCCTCTCTAATCTTTGTAGCTCCACCAGGAAACCTCCCTCACCTCTTGTATGCTCCTCACCATGGTTTTGAGGGACACCATAGCTTTGGATAACCCTGCATTTCACCTGATCACTACTCTTCTGGCCTCCACCACAAGCTCCATGGTCAGTGCTCCCGAGTTAACCTTGGTATTCCCCAAGGTTTGCAGCCACTTCATTCTCAGGATGCATCAGTGCTGCCTAACTCCAATGAGATAACAGCCTCCCTCACCTAAATCCTCTGTATAGTTAACACTACTCCCCTACAGATGCTCTTGTCGTCTCCACCTTCCCCATCCCCATCATCACTCCATAGCTCCCTGTATTCACCAAAGTCACCCCTAAATAGTCCATGATCTGGTTGGAGATGAAATTGTGGGTAGCCTTACTATCAATCAACACTACTACCTCTCGGTTTGCTATTTACCCTTCACCTTCATGGTATTACTTGGAGTGAATCCTACCATTGAGTTCAGAGAGATCTCCGCCATGTCCAGATGCAACTTATCCTCCTCCTCTACTCCGGTCTCACTCCTACTTTCCTCCTTAGCTTCCTCCCCATCACAGATGATGATAACCTAAAGAGTTTAGTCTTTGAACCTATGCCCCAGAGTATACTTCTCATTACATCGGAAGCATAATTCCTTTGCCCTCTTTTCCTGCACCTCCCTCTCAGTCAGCTTTTTGAAATTTCCCCCACTTTTTCCTCCTATAGACTTCTCCCTCTGAATCTCACGAAGGTTGCTTGGTATAGGCCCCTTTAGTGCTAAGAAAGTAGTGGTCATCCTGTATGAACCACCTGAACTATCGTCTATAGCCCCACTCTCCTAGTACTTATGATCATCCATCAGTTTAGCTAGCTCCATAGCCTCTCCTTAATCTCGAGGCCTTATGACTCTCACTGCTGCTCAGATCTTTGATTTGTGCCCCTTCGTGAAATTACCCCCCAGAACATTCCCAGATAGCCGATTCAATCGACCCACTAGGTACTCAAATCTCTTGTTGTATTATGTTATTGAGTCTTCATTTACTAGGGTGAATGATTGCTCATAGAAGTCCTCTCCCCTGCTAGTTTGGAAACGTTCCAATGAGCACTTTTTGAACTCCCTCCAACTTTGTTTGGGTTGCTTTGTGTCTTTCCATTGGTATCAAGCATATGCTTTTCTTTCCAAACATAGGCTAGCTTTCGTCAGTTTCTCCTCCTCTGTTAACCCATTGACGGTAAAATATCTCTCTACCTTGTAAATCCACCCTTGTGCACCCTCCCCCTCAAAGATGGACATCTTTTGCTTCCTGACTTCGGATCCTCTCCATTTCCCCTAATTCCTCCATAGTCTCTTTCCCCTTCCCCAAGTGGGTGGTCCCCCCCAAGTGTCCTGATCCTCCCTTCCACGTTCACACCCAAGCCCTTCTTAGAATTTTACCTCCTTCAAAATCAGCACCTCTCCGGTCATAATTTCCCTCCCTTCTTTCCTAATAAGCAACGCTTTGCTCATGCCCTACACGTTTACCCCTCTCTCCATACCTTCCACCTCTCTCCACCCTCTGGAAGGGTTTCTCCACATCATTTTCATTCCTATGAATTTCAAAATTCATATTTTTCTCTTCAGGTCCTCTCGCCTCTGATGTTGCCATTTGGTTTTAGAGATCCAACAATTTCTTCACTTTGTCACATAGGTCAGAGAATTGTTCTTCCATGGAAGAAATTCAATCCTCTACGGTTTCTTTGAGTTGGCTCATCTCCTCCTCAAGACATTCTTCTAATACATCCACCTTCTTGGTCGCCTTTGATCACCAGATCTTTGTTAAACTCAAAAATTCATATTTACACGCCAAAAAAATAGCAAAAATAATTGTTCAGACAAGAAAAATTGCTGCAGGAATCAGC